GACAGATAGCTCAACAAACTGAGTGCATATTTTGCACACAGGAAGCCTGGGTTTGATCCCTCATACTAAATGCTCCAGGTTTGATCTCAGGTACTACATTGCCCCCAAACAGTGCTGGGAGTGACTCCTACCAATAACCTGGCTGGAGGCAAGTCTCCAAGCACTGCCAGTGTGGTCCCCAAATCAAAATCACCAGCACTAATCCTTTCCCACCCTCCAAACCACAAATAATTAACTTTCAAATGCAAACTGGATCCTGTTTGCTATTGCAGGGATTTAATATATGCTTATGGATAAAATATAAACCTTTTCCCTGAAGACCAAACAAAACAAACCCCACTGTCAGGAGACCATGCAGTTTATAAATGGAGATGAAATAGGAAACTTTAATTCATTACTGTGGGATGGAAAAAAAATTTTCAATTCCCAGCTTCAGCTTTTTTTTTATATTTGTCAGGAAATCAAATAATGTCTCTCAACTCCCAAGATAAATTTCATATTGCAATCATAATTGTCTGTGCATGTTTTAAGGATTAACAATGAAACATAGGAAGAGGGGAGAAAGAAGACTAAAAACATTCTGCTACCTTTTCATTGTTCTGTTCTCTTCCAATGTTTTGCGGGGCAGGGAGCACATCCAGCAATGCTCAGGAGTTAATCCTGGTTCTGCACTCAGGAATTACTTTTGGCTGTTTTCGGGGGCCAGATGGGATGCTAGGGATCAAACTGGGGTCAGACAAATGCAAGGCAACTACCCTAGCTGTTGAACTATTTCTCCTGCCCCTCTTCATGAGTATAACTTATTTTGCATTTTTCTTTTTAAATATAAAACTGTTTGGGGTTGGAGAGATAGTTTGCCCCCCTACCTACCAGGCCAACCCGAGTTCGATTCCTCCCCCCTTCTCGGAGAACCCAGCAAGCTACTGAGAGTATCTCGCCCGCACGGCAAAGCCTGGCAAGCTCCCCATGATGTATTTGATATGCCAAACACAGTTAACAAGTCTCAAAATGTTACAGGGCCCGCTCGAGGAAATCGATGAACAACGGGAGGACAGTGACAGTGACAGTGACCTTGTATGAGGCCAAATGTATGAGTCCCAGAACTACATGGTTCCCTGGGCACAACCAAGGGCAAACCCTGAGCACAGAGGTGGGAGTGGCCCCTCAGTAATGCTGAATGTGGCCCCCAAACCAAATGAAAAACAAAATCTAAAACTGATTGAGAAGATGGGTGGCCGCTTTCCTGCTGGGCTGTATGTTGTTTAGCTAGAAGGGACCTGTATTGATACCCAGGAATGGGTTATGGCAGCTGTAACACAACAGGTTATGTTTGACAGGCCACTCAGATCCAGGTGCTATGATGCTCAGGGAATCTATTTTAGGGAATCTATTTGGCACTTAAATCTATTCTCATGAGCACAAAACAACCTTTCTCCTCACAAATCTGGACTCAGATCACAAGAGAATCAGGGGAAAGTTTGGACTATATCTCATCACCAACACTGGAAAGAGGGTTGTCTTTTTATTTTGGGGAGTAGGGATGCACAAACTACTCCTGACCCTGTACCCGCTCTGTAATGCTGGGGACTGAAGGCAGACCTCCAGCATGCAGTGCACATGTTCAACCCTCTGAGCACCATCTCCCCTCCTAATCTTGAGCATCTGAAAACTATCCTTTTATCCTTTCAGGCCTCTGTAAAGTCCACATATTAAAAAAAAAAGGCAAAAAAACCAACCCAAAACCCCACACTGATACTACCTGAGCAGCTTCATAAAGAAAAGACAATAAAATAAAAAGCACTTAACCAGTCTGCCACAATCTATTATATCATTATTCAATTGTTTTGAACACACACTCCCCTCCCTATTGGCTATTATACACACACATGCACACACACACAAAATGTCTATCACCCTCCCCCGCTTTACTGGCTATTACACACACACCCCCTCTATGTTGGCTATTACACAAACACACACACACACACCCTCTGTGTTGGCTACTAAACATACACACAAATACAGTCTCTCTATGGTGGCTCTTATACACACACACACACACATGCATCCTCTGTGTTGGCTATTACACACATACATACACACTCTATCTTTCTATGCTGGCTCTCACACATCATCTATGTTGGCTACTACACAAACACATATACCCCCTCTGTGTTGGCTATTACACATACACACACACACACACACACACACACACACCCTTTGTTGGCTATTCTAGACACACACCACACACACACACACACACACACACACACACACCTTAGTTGGCTAGTCCAGATAATGGTTTCCAGACCTTTTCTACTATTAGATTTACCTTCCTTTATGGTTTGCTGGTCAGTCTCTTTAGGCAAGTAGCCATGCTGCAGCCAGCCATGGGCAGTCACTTCTGTCATGCTTCCTGGTATTTCAAATGATAAGCTACTAAGTCCAGCAATGCCTCAGGCACTGTCACATATACCAGCTCCCTGAATTCTCTCCCTTGACTCTGCTTCTTCAATGTCTATCATAAGGCTGGGCAAACTATCCTGACTTTTATAAAAACAAACAAAATTTTCTCCTTTTATCTGAGTCATCTACTAAGTCAATTTAGACCAAAATAGTTACTGGAGTATGATTTATTTGGATTTTCTATTACATTGAATAAACAGGTATTTATTGACTTAAATTCAATCTTATATTATATTAACATAACCTTCAAACATTAAAAGCATCAAAGGTCTTCCCGGGCTTTTGTGCTTTTACAAATAATATGCAGTTCCCCTAGCCTCCCCCCCAGTCCCCTAGCAACCAGATCTTTATCTTTAAACATCATTCCCCACTAAAAGGAGTCAGAACTCCTTGGAGACAGAGTTGACTCCATGATTGGGGCAAGGACATGTTCCAGAGAGGTCTGGAACAAAATAATAGCACTAAGAAAAGACAGTATAGGTGAAATGACATTGACAAGGTGAAATTCATGGTTTGAGAATTGTTGCAATTGGGTGTGCATGAAGTTCTGTCTTATTTTTCAGTTAGGCAGTGTGATCTGCTACGGTATTATCAGTGTTTCCGGAAGGCTGTCCCTATACTATAACCCAGGACAGGAATGTGTTTCATTTATTTATTTATTTGCTTTTTTGAGTCCCAACGGGCCTTTTGGGGGGGGGCGGCGGGGGGAAGGGAAGGAACCATATGGAATGCTGGGGATCGAACCCAGGTATGCCTGCAATGTGCAAGGCAATCGCCCTACCCTCTGTACTAAGGCTCCCACCTCGGGGACATGCTTTTTTGAAAAAAGTTTTTTTATTGTGGTGACCAGGCTTACAGCAGTTGGAAGTTCTTGAGCATATTCTCATCTATTTTAAAAAAATATTCTCATCTATTTTAAAAAAATATATTTAAAAAAAATATTCTCATCTATTTTAAAAAAATGTTCCATAAAACTACGGTAAAGTTCAAAGGACTTGGGATTTTACTTTAAAAAAAACTAGAGGGTAATGCGATAGTACAGAGGATATAGGGTACTTGCACGTGGCTGACAGGGGATTCAATCTCTGGTGCCCCACCTACGGTCCCCCGAGGGCACCAGGTGAGATCCCCGCGCTCAGAGCCAGGAGTAAGCCCGGTGATGTTCCAGGTATGGCCCTCCCCGAACCAAAACAAATCAAAGTTCGGAGCGCTATAGGGCGAAACGGTTCGAATAAAGCACCGGATAATCCAAAAAGCCCTTAAAAGTCGAGTCTCTTCTGCCCAACGGAAGCCCCGCCGCCGTGTGATCGATCACAGGAATCACCTGCGCCCCCGCAGACTCCGCGAAGTGGCTGAACAAACGGCCAGGAGCTAAGGCGGGGCTCCCGGGTGCCAGTCCCGGGGTCACTGAGTCACGGAACAGAAAGCGGAGTTGGGCCGCCGTGCGCGCGGGGAGCCGCTCAAGAAGAGCCATTCCGCGGGGAAGGCGGCAGAAGACGCGGGACGCCGCCCGCGATCGCGCCCGCCCCGAGGCGCCCCGGACGCGCGACCACGCGCAGAGCGGCCCGGAGCTGGAGCTGGGGGCCCCTCCCCGGGCGCCCGCCCCCGGGAGCCCGTGTGACCCGCAGCCCCGTGAACTGTGACCCGCTCCCGCCCCGCGGCACCCGGCTCGGCGGGCGGCGCTTCCTCGCGCGCGGGGTGGGGCGGCCGCAGGCGATCCGGGCCGCGGCCGGAGCGAGGAAGACGGGGTCCTGCTAGGCGCCCCGGGGCGGCTTCCTGAGGCGCTCGTGGGCCCCCGCCGCCGGACGGCCGGCCCCGCCCTCGCCCTGCACAGGTAGGAAGAAGCCGGGAGCCCCGAGTGTCCAGCCCCGACGACCGACCGAAGCCTGGCTCAGCCGGCTACGGAACTTTAACTGATGTTCAAGGGGAGAACGCCGGAAGCGCGGGCCTGACTCTCCGTCTGCCCCTCGCGGCGACGGAGCGAGGTCGCACGGCCGGCGCGTGTCCCGCTCTTTCACCTTCACCCAGCCTCCATCGTATCCGGGCCTGCACCTTTAAGAGCGTGACGGACAATCGCTTCAGCCTATCGACTTCCTTGTTAGCGTCCAATCAGATTTGAACTTCTTCCAGCGGCCCGAGGTGTTCGGAGGAGGAGGTCGCCAGAGCTGTGCTTCTCGTCTCGCGAGATCGCCGAGAGCCGGCCTCTCGGGGAAAAAAAAAAAACACGCCTGAGCAGATGGTCCGACTTCCCAAGTAGGATGCAAAAGGACAGAGGCACGAGCCAATGAGAGGCCCGAGGAGGCGGGCCCACGGGTTTCAGCGCGCAAGAAGTACCGTTACAGGGCAGACTTTACGTCCAATCAACGCCGGCCGACTCTGGGTCAGATGACCTCAGAGTGCGAGGGGTGGAGCTACGGCCTGGCGCGAGGAACCGTTAAGATGGACAACAGGTGCGACCAATGAGGTGCTCCGACTCGGCGTTTGGCGCCCAATAGCGGTGGCCGGGCGGGCGCCTTCCCGGAGCGCGGGGCGATGTGAAGACGGACAAATCGTCTTCCCAATGAGCCTGTAGACGAGCGGAGCCGACAGACCAATGAGGAGTGCGGGGCGGGACCCTTTGCCGCGGCGGAGTCCAAAATGGCGGCGTGCGGTTCCGCTGTGTGAAGCGAGCGCGGGGCGGCGGGTTACTCGGCTCCGCGGGGACGACCTCCGGCGACCCACGACAATGAAGGGGAAAGAGCGCTCGCCGGTGAAGCCCAAGCGCTCCCGTGGTGGTGAGGAATCGACCTCGCGTGGGGAGCGGAGCAAGAAGTTGGGGGGCTCTGGCGGCAGCAACGGGAGCAGCAGCGGGAAGACCGACAGCGGCGGCGGGTCGCGGCGCAGCCTCCACCTGGACAAGTCCAGCAGCCGAGGCGGCAGCCGCGAATATGACGCCGGCGGGGGCGGCTCCAGCAGCCGCTTGCACAGCTACAGCTCCCCGAGCGCCAAAAATTCCTCGGGCGGGGGCGAGTCGCGCAGCAGCTCCCGGGGTGGAGGCGGGGAGTCGCGCTCCTCCGGGGCCGCCGCCTCCGCGCCCGACGGCGGGGAGTACAAGACCCTCAAGATCAGCGAGCTGGGGTCCCAGCTGAGCGACGAGGCGGTGGAGGACGGGCTCTTCCACGAGTTCAAGCGCTTCGGCGACGTCAGCGTCAAGATCAGCCACCTCTCGGGCTCGGGCGGCGACGAGCGCGTCGCCTTCGTGAACTTCCGGCGGGCCGAGGACGCGCGGGCGGCCAAGCACGCCAGAGGCCGCCTGGTGCTCTACGACCGGCCGCTGAAGATCGAGGCGGTGTACGTGAGCCGGCGCCGCAGCCGCTCGCCGCTGGACAAGGACGCCTACGGGCTGTCGTCCGGCCTGGCGGGCATGGCGGTGGGCGGCCACCGGCACGCCCCGGGCGGCGGCGGCCAGCGGTCCCTGTCCCCGGGGGGCGCGGCCCTGGGCTACCGCGACTACCGGCTGCAGCAGCTGGCGCTCGGCCGCCTGCCCCCGCCCCCGCCGCCCCCGCTGCCCCGCGAGCTGGAGCGGGAGCGCGACTACCAGTTCTACGACCGGGTGCGCCCCGCCTACAGCCTGGAGCCCCGGGTGGGCGGCGCCGGCGGCGCGGCCCCTTTCCGCGAGGTGGACGAGATCTCGCCCGAAGATGACCAGCGCGCCAACCGGACGCTTTTCCTGGGAAACCTCGACATCACTGTGACCGAGAGCGACTTGCGACGCGCTTTCGACCGCTTTGGCGTCATCACGGAGGTGGACATCAAGCGACCTTCCCGGGGCCAGACGAGCACCTATGGCTTCCTCAAATTTGAGAACCTAGACATGTCCCACCGGGCCAAGTTGGCCATGTCGGGCAAGATCATCATTCGCAATCCTATCAAGATCGGTTACGGCAAAGCGACGCCCACCACCCGCCTTTGGGTGGGGGGCCTGGGACCTTGGGTGCCCCTGGCGGCTCTGGCTCGTGAGTTTGACCGCTTCGGCACCATCCGCACCATCGACTACCGCAAAGGTGATAGTTGGGCGTATATCCAGTACGAGAGCCTGGACGCAGCTCATGCTGCCTGGACCCATATGCGGGGCTTCCCCCTGGGGGGCCCCGATCGTCGCCTTAGAGTTGACTTTGCTGACACAGAACATCGTTACCAGCAGCAGTATCTGCAGCCTTTGCCCTTAACGCATTATGACTTGGTGACAGATGCTTTTGGACATCGGGCACCCGACCCTTTGAGGGGTGCGCGAGATCGAACACCGCCCTTACTGTACAGAGATCGTGATAGGGACCTTTATCCTGACTCTGATTGGGCCCCGCCTCCACCCCCAGTCCGCGAACGCAGCACGCGGACTACAGCTGCTGCTGTGCCTGCATATGAGCCTCTGGATAGCCTGGATCGCAGGCGGGATGGCTGGTCCTTGGACCGGGACCGAGGTGACCGGGATTTGCCCAGCAGCAGAGACCAGCCCAGGAAGAGGAGGCTGGCGGAGGAGAGTGGGGGAAGGCATCTGGATCGGTCCCCTGAGAGTGACCGGCCCCGGAAACGCCACTGTGCACCTTCACCTGACCGCAGTCCAGAACTCAGCAGCAGCCGGGACCGCTACAACAGTGACAACGATCGCTCTTCCCGCCTCCTCTTGGAAAGGCCCTCTCCTATCAGAGACAGAAGGGGTAGTTTGGAGAAGAGCCAGGGTGACAAGAGGGACCGTAAAAACTCTGCGTCGGCCGAACGAGATAGGAAGCACCGGACAGCTGCTCCCACTGAGGGGAAAAGCCCACTGAAAAAGGAAGACCGGTCCGATGGGAGCGCACCCAGCACCAGCACAGCTTCATCGAAGCTCAAGTCTCCTGCCCAGAAACAGGACAGCGGGTCAGCCTCCACCGCTTCCACCTCGCCAAAACTCTGTTTGGCCTGGCAAGGTATGCTTCTGTTGAAGAACAGCAACTTCCCGTCCAATATGCATCTCTTGCAGGGTGATCTCCAAGTGGCTAGTAGTCTTCTTGTGGAGGGCACAACTGGAGGCAAAGTGGCCCAGCTCAAGATCACTCAGCGGCTTCGTTTGGACCAGCCCAAGTTGGATGAAGTAACGCGTCGTATCAAAGTGGCAGGGCCCAATGGTTATGCCATTCTTCTTGCTGTGCCTGGAAGTTCTGACAGCCGATCCTCTTCATCAGCCACATCAGACACTGCCACCTCTACTCAGAGGCCACTTAGGAACCTTGTGTCCTATTTAAAGCAAAAGCAGGCAGCTGGGGTGATCAGCCTTCCTGTGGGGGGCAACAAAGACAAAGAAAACACCGGGGTTCTTCATGCCTTCCCACCCTGTGAGTTCTCCCAGCAGTTCCTGGATTCCCCTGCCAAGGCACTGGCCAAATCTGAAGAAGATTACCTGGTCATGATCATTGTCCGTGGTGCGTCCTAAAGTCCATGTGTAACTTGTATTTACTATTTGACATGGTTCCTGTTTTGTGATGTGTAATGGGATACAGCATCAGATAACAATTTTTGTTTAATTAGTTGTTTAGTTGTAGCTTTTTTTTTTGATTTTTATATATATATTTTTATAAACCTCTTTGAAATAGAAGTCAGGACAGTACCTCTTAAGTGAAAGGGATGCCCTGAGGGTAGCAGGTAAATGGATTTGCTTTAATTAGGAGTTCCCATTCTTATGAGTAATATTTTCCTGCATTTCAGGTTTTTCTTTTTTAACCTTGAGCTTTAACAAAAATTCCTCAAAGTTACAAAGTCAAATTTTGGAAAAGTCAGAATTTGGAGGAAAAAGCCCACTGACTAGAAAAAATGGTAATGTACACCTAAAATGGCTTGACTGGTATATGGTAAATTCTGTACCAGAAATGTTATTGGCGTGGCAGAAATTTGATCAGAATCTCAAAAGTATAAGCTGGTAAATGGTATAGCGATGCATTTTAATCAGGTATTTGAATGTTTCTCTTAAAATACATGATTTGTTCCCAGAGAGTTTGCTTTAACATAATACATTTTTATCATTAGTTCTGAGTTCTGTATCCCGTATTTGCACTTTTGGTTTGTAGCTGTAACTTCAGTAAAAATTGAAGAGTGTTACAAACCATATGTCTTAAGCTTACACTAGTATGCAAGAAGTGAGTAGGTGCTTTTAACATCAGATAATTTTGGATCAGTTACCAGTGTGGTGGGTTTTTTTTTTTTGTGGTTTATTTTTGGGGTTTTTGTTTTTTGTTTTTATTTTTTAACTTTTTCAGAGAAGTGTAGCAGGTACAATTGTAGTTTTGCATTTTTGTATCCATTTAAATTTCTGACTTCAATAATAGAAAGAAGAGTTGTCTGCGGGCTTGTAAGTCACGGTTTTTATTTATTTTTTTTTATTTCAGCTGGCATTAATGATCCCTTTTTGGGTTGCAGGATTTTCTAGTTTTTGTGAAATGCCTTTGACATACTCCTTTTAAATTTTGCTTGTATTTTCATATTTAAACAGTAGTGAAAAATTAAATTGTTGGAAAATATTTTGAATATCTTTGAAATTTTAGTTTAGTATTTCTAGCCATGGAGAAGTAAAATGTCAGAGTAGGGAAGCCCTTTTTAAAACTTGTTTTATTTTCCCAGACACATGGAATTTAATTTTTAAAAAATTAACCTACTCAGAGTTTTTTTTTCAGAGCTGAAGATGATACAGATGTCTGGCTCTTAACAAGGACTTTTGCTGCTTAATACTAATGGTTGGTTTTTTTTTTTTTGTGGTCCTTTTATTTAAAAAAAAATCTTGTGTTATGCCTTGCTTCCACCCCTAGTTTCTCAGGTATGTTTCCCCTGCCTTGATTTAAATGCTGAGGACGTAAGCTAAGGTTTTTAATGATAAATTATGATTAGAAACTTTAGAATATGTCATTATGATTAGAAACTTTAGGACCTTTTGGATCATGGTCATGTTTCTATTCTGTGAAAGTGACTTATTGAATGCCTGGCAGAACTTAACTGTTTTCTTTCTATTATCAAAACTGTTAGTTTTGAAATAGCACCAATAATAACCCAGGGAAATGTCATGTAATTTATTATTTTCCGTTATGACAGGTGTCTAAATGCATGTCAGCATGAAAACCTCATCAGTGCTGTGTCATCCTTTTTGGGTTTCACTATTCATTGATACTTTTTTTTTTAATGTTTGGAGGTTATTGTGGGGATGTTTTTTGTTTTTGTTGTTAAACTGGAAAAATTAGCCATTTTGAGAGCAAGGGGCTGTGATCATAGAGGTTTCTTGGTGTGCCTATATGGAAATAACTACAATCAGTTATTTTACAATTAATGCTTTATAAAAAGCTGTCGTTGACATGCTAATATACAGACACCTGTTCAGAAACTAATGGAACTTTGCAGTGTGTGTCTACTGGGGTCAAAGTACAATTTATGGCTAAATGCATTTTTCCAGTTTAAATAATCACTAAACATTAACTTACGAATATCATTTGATAAGATGGCTTGGACAAATGATTTTGCTCTATTAGAGAATGAGCACCTAATTTTGCTATAATACAAAATGTGGGGGGGGTTCCCTTTGTTTTCAATTCTGCCTTTTTGAAAGTTGATTGACAGCTGTCAAAGAGTATAGTGGTTTTTGCTCCATGTTTAAGGCTATCCAGCGTTGCAACTTTTTTTAGGTCTTGGCAGTATTGTGCGTCTGTTTTAGGAAAAGTGGTTTGGTACCATTTCTAAATGTATATGTTATAAAAGCAAATTATGTTTAGTTTGATGCTTACCTGTAGAGTGCCATCATTTCAGATGATTCTCTTATTTGTGTTGCCCATTCTGTTGTGCAGATTCTTAGTATTTGTAAACTGCTTAAAAGTAGAATGAAAACAAATTTGAAAACTATCTGGTTTTAATTCTCATTAGCCAGAGTTTCATAATCTCAACATTGGATGTTCTTTGCAACAACCAATTCAATTCATTTTCTTTTACTTTTAAAAAATTGCTACTTTGATTTTTTTTTGAACTCGAATGGAAAGAAAATCTTTAATGTAGGATTTAATGACTAAATTAGTATTATTGGTGGAAAACATTAAGATTTAGATCACAACTTTGTTTTGTGGAAAATTAAGCAATTATTCAGGTCCTGGCTTAATTTTTTAAAGTTCTTGTTTATAATTGGTATAACTGGGATACCTTTAAGGATTACGTCTTTAAATGTCCATCCTCTGGCTGGTGTTAAAAGTTTTTGTCATGTCTTGACTATATTCTTGACTTGATTAAGGTCACATTAGTCTAGTAGTAAAAAAATAAGGTGTATGTTTTTATTGCTTTCAGAGTCAAACACTGTTTAATTTAAAAACATTTATGAGCAGGTTTTCACTGGCAATGGTTTTTTTTTTTTAATTCATTCATTTTTTTTTCCTTTTGTTTTTTTTCTTTAATACTTTAAAATTGCTCTTGCAGGTACAATTTAAACTGTAGTTGTGTCCATATAGGAACCATTCACCAAAAACTCTGGTAACAGAATTGGGAAATCCTCTTGAAAAGAGGGCCTTAATAATGACCTTGTGTGTGAGGGACTGGAAAAGGAATAGAATTTTTTTTTCTTTTGGTCTCTGCCACAGTGTTTGGCTTTGAGAAAGGAGAAAGAAATGAGAACAAGAAAAGAAATAGAATTGACCATGTTACATTCTGGTTATAGTGATGCCCTTAAAGGGATAAAAATGACTAGGTAACCACAGTGAACTGTTAAACTTAATGGGGACATACTTATGATTTAAACAGTTAAAAAAGGAGAAGCCCTAAAGTGTTCTTTTATTGCTTAATAGTTTGAATGTTTTCTTAAAATGGCAACTGCTGTCTTTGGTAACTCACATGAGGTGGGATTTGAACGGCATTGTATTTTGACCCTTTTCTACAGTTACAAGTAATTCTCTGTTGCTCCATAAAAATTATATAATGAAAGTAGACGGGGTAAAACTAACAAAACTCCACCCTTTTATTCTGTTCATTTTTTTCAAGTTATATCCAGATATTGATTATAAACGTTCTTTTTCTTAAATTCTTGACTGTTTTACTCAGTTACATGAGTACAAAGGGTACATTGAGATCTGTAGTCCTCACTTAATTGCAGTCTTTAAAAAAAAAACCCACCCTATTCCACTTGTTTTTTGTCTATTCACACAGTAAATTCATTTCAAGGTTTGTGCCAGTGGATATTATTGGTGCTTTTTGAAGTCAAGGTGGACTATCCAGGAAGGTCTTGTTAATGTTATGTTCATCTATAATGGCATAGGGGAAATATAAATATATATATATTTTTAATATTGTAAACATTTGTACTGAATAACCTTTTTTTCCCCCCCTGCAAGCAAAACTGGTGAACAGCAGATGAAGACATGGAATTCAAAGATCTAATGGACCTTTTTGAAGACAAGTTATGGCTCATGTGGAGTTTACATGGGCCTCTTGATGGAAGAAAGCTAATCTGTTTAGTATTTGTGCATTTTACTAAAATGGCAGCTTAAAGTTGTGTATCTGCTATTGTGATGCCAATGCCGGTGTTTTAAGTGGAAAAAAAATGACCTCTTTGCTTTTGTGCTGTGTACACAAGATTTCTGGAAAAGTAAAGAAAAACCCTTTTTATGGCTCACACAGCTTAAAAGTAGCTGTCACTCAAACATGCGCTCACAGTTGAGCTGCTTTTGTTTTATTCTAAATAAATTGTTTCTTTTGAGGAAAATGTTTTTCTGCCTGGAAGTGAATTGACGGCAAACCTTTGACCCCTTTGTTTGCAGCTGAGGGGGTACTTGCTGCTGCTCAGACAGATCCTGTAAGTCTTGAGCAAGAAGCAGGGAGACCATCATTCTGACTATCGCGGTGTGTCAATTCTGAAGGATCACTAGCGTTACTGTGACCCCCCTTTGTTTGCAGTGAAGGGGATCGTTTGCTTCTGAGTCCTCAACTTGATGAGGAAATGGTGCTGTTGGCTGGCGCACAAGAAGCCGGGGCAAGCACCGTAAGCCTCACCACAATGCACGAGTCTGGGGCTTTGCTGGTTTGAAGAGCCGGAGTTGCTGAAATTTAAGTTTTGATTTATTTTGTTCACCCATCACGTTTGGCCTTAGTTTCATTTTTAATTTGAAGAGAAGTTTGAAATTGCTTTATCTTGCACTTAACATTTGCACCAAATTGCCAAAAGAAGGAGAAATGCTCCGTTTGCTTTTAGAATGTTAATGGTGATGTTAATAAAGCCTTTCCTGACACATTTGAGGAGCTCCTCCGTCTCCAGGGGCTTCTTGCCAGAGTTATGCAGTGATGGGTTTAGTTCTGAATGGATGAAGAGCTCCTGAGAGCTAGCGTTTGTAATTAGAACCGTTACATGGTTTCTGTGCCTTATTTCACCTGTGGTTCCACATGCCTTGGATGCGCATGCACCGTGACGGTTTCGTAGGTACGAACGCACACTCAGGCCCAGTCACTTCGGTTGGTAGTACAGATTGTGAGGAAAAAAATGGAGGCGTCCTTAAGGAGGAAAAGGTGTTTGCCTTTAGTTCCAGCATTATCCTGTACAGGGGCTCCTGAGCTTTGGAAGCTGTTCCCAGTACAGGAGAACAACTCTCCCTGTTGGCAGCAGGAAACTTCGGTGCACAGTGACAACGCTGGAGTTCAAGAGGAAGCCAGCAATGCTGCACCATTTGGCTTCAGACACCATTGTTGTTTGCCAGTTTTAAACTTAACTAGTTGCAGACGAAGACCACCTTGAAATGCAGGCTTGTTGGGCTTGTTTTGAATTTTAACCTCGGATGGAAGAGCCCTAGTGCTGTCTGTCTCCATGCGGGATGATGATTACTTAGGCAACAGGTGATTATCAACAAAGGATGCCATGGTTATACGCTGCAAGGTGGTGTTCCAGTGGCAAACATCTGTATAAACTCTTGTAACCAGGTAAGAGGGTTTTTAGAAGTAAAAAATGCGTTGTGCTTAATAGAGGGCTTTTAATGTTTGGGGCATGTTTTTCTCAATGAAAACGTTTTTGAGCGTTCTGCTATTAGTGGCTTTCTGCTCTCACCAAAGTGTGTTTGCGAAGTTCCAGACCAGTATTTTTAATTATACGTGAAGTTCTTTTTTAGAAAATTTATTTTAACATTGGTAGAGTTCTTTAATTATGGGGAACAAAGTATTAAAATTTTGTTTAAGGAATTGGGTCCTACTGCCTTGAAGCCCTTTAAAATTTTGACGTCCATAAAGGGTGACCTTCAATCTTCGTTGTGATTTAATAAGCCAGAACTGTCTGCTATGTTCTTTATGAGCACTAATTACTTGGGGATGGCTTAGGTATGCCGAATTTGGTCCATGACATCACACATCCTCAGAAACACACTTGGGTGTGACCCTACAGGCCCCAGCACCACCAGTTATGGCCCCACCCCCCACAACAGAAAAAATAAAACTGATTTCTAAACCTCTAAGTTAAAAATACTTTTAATTCATAGCAAAAATTTTAAAGTTGCTATAAGATAGTTATGATAAGTTAGCCAAATTGATTAATTTTTCTACTCTTTCAGAGATTAACTAAGAGAAAAGGTTTGAGGGAAGAGAGTGGAAAATGTTGAGCAAAGTCTGACTTTCATCTCCCATTTCCATTTAGTTCTCTTTAGTTCTACCTCTAGAACCCGTCCAGTAGTTCATTAATCAGATGTGAAGCATTGGTATCTTTTAGACACTTTTTAAATGTATGATACAGTTTGGGGTACCTTTAAGCACATGGGATAAAAAAATTTTTAGTACGATTTTTCTTCTATACATTTTTGTTTCTTTTTGAGTCACACCTGGCAATGCACAGGGGTTACTCCTGGCTCTGCACTCAGGAATTACTCTTGGCAGTGCTCAGGGGACCATATGGGATGCTGGGACTCGAACCCATGTTGGTCACTTGCAGGGCAGAGCCCTACCCGCTGTGCTATCACTCCAGCCCCTCTTCGATACATTTTCATTCCAGAAGAACTGTGTAACTAGGTAGCAAATTTCGTACTATCTACTTTTTCATTTTTTCATATTTTTTCTTTTGAAACCACACGTGGCAGTGCTCAGGTGACAGTATGGAATGAGGGGGATCGAGTCAGGGTCAGCTGCATCCAGATTAAGCACCTTACACCCTTTACTATATCTCCAACCCAATCTATTTTTTGTATAAGTTGATTGAAGTCCTTGGATTGTTTAGCTTGACAACTTATTACCTATACTTTATTACAGTAAAAGTGGAAAAGTGAAATTCAGTGTGTTTTCTTAGGTTCTTAGATGTCATTTTTAAACATCAGCTTTTTCTTTATGTCATCTAATGTGTTGCTAGACTAATTTCTCTGTTGTTAGACTATTCTCTCACGTCTTTAAACCTTTAATACTTGTTGGGAATGAAGTTTCCACTATTTTTTATCTCTGGCTAGTTCACACTAAAAACACATAAGTATTTGTAAGCAGATGTTTTTAAAACATTTTGAGGAAGAATATATTTCTTTTTTATTATCTTTCTAAGAACTCAGACCTTAAGAATAAGAAAAAATGTTGCAAACATTTAGTTTTTATGTGTATGTTAAACTATTCAGAAATGAAAAGATGACAATTTTATCACGGGAATTTAATGAATAATAAAACTCATTTAAACTTGGATAAGATTCTTAGTCAAAAATTTTGACTGAGGTAAAATTAATATGACTGTAATAGTAATCTCTACAGGTAACATTTCTTTATAATCATTTGAATACCATCTGCATATTGTGAATTAAGATACTGAACATGCAGAGTAAATTGTCAGTTTGGGTTTTTCCCTGTCAGCAACTTAAAACTAAATCAGAAAGTAGAGAGAAACAGTTAAGATAGTACTAGTTTTAGGACAACTATCATAGAGTTGTTACGAGTCAATATTTGAATAATTGCCATTGAATTTTTTACAGGGTATATGGGTTTGTAAATGTTTATATAAATGAATCCCTTTAAATTGAAATGGTAAACAGATGCTCTAAAAGAATTTGATGGAGAAGAACTTGAGTGCTGGAAGGTTTGACATGGCATACAAATATGCACAAATTGAAATGCAGAATATTGTTGATAAGTGGAAAAGATGAAGTTTGGGAAACTACTAAGATGGTTGGATCAAAAGAAAGGGAATCCTGGGGCTGGAGCAATAGCACAGCGGGCAGGGCGTTTGCCTTGCACGTGGAGGACCCAGGTTCGATTCCCAGCATCCTATATGAACCCCTGAGCATTGCTAGGTGTGACCCAAAAAGCAAAAAAAAAAAAAAAATAGGGAATCTTAACAAGATGTTTGAGAAGAGTAAGACTAGAGTGTGAGGAAGAATAATCACTCGAAGCATAATATAATGCTACAATAATTAGAGTTATAGAATAATGATTTATTGAATACCCACTTACAGTCAAGATTTCTGTCAAATCCTGCACACATACTGTAGACCATCATCTTAACTAGTGATAAATCCAGGGTTCTAATCAAGAGTTTATGTTGTCTTCTGGTCACTGTACTGTCATATATCACCATTTTCTAGAAGTGGACGGGGTTAAAGCTGCAGTTTTGAGAAAAAAATGTCAGGATAGAGGATTTCAAACTCTAGTGTATTAAAGTTTATGGGGTTTTGTGGGTGATATTTTTAGGGGGGGTGGATGAGGGGTCCATACCCGGCAGTGCTCAGGGCTTACTCCTGATTCTGCACTGCACTCAGGGATCACTCCTGGAGGGCCTGGGACCATATGGGATGCTAGGGTTTGAACCCAGGTTGCCCATATGCAAGTCAAGTACTTTTTCCTGTACCTTCACTACTTCAATGGTAGTATTTATGATTCTTGGGAAGTATATAGACCCTTGACTTTTTTTTTTTTGCTTTTTGGGTCACACCCGGCGATGCTCAGGGGTTACTCCTGGCTCATGCACTCAGGAATTGCTTCCGGCGGTGCTCGGGGGACCATATGGGATGCTGGGAATCGAACCTGGGTCGGCCATGTTGGCTGCGTGCAAGGCAAACGCCCTACCCGCTGTGCTATCGCTCCAGCCCCCTAGACCCTTGACTCTTAACCCAGATACTTTGGTTTTTGTTAGGGCCATCGTATCTTAAAATATTTTGAGGTTTTACAGTACCTACACACACACACACACACACACACACACACATACACACACTCCGCTCTCCACCCCTCCACCCCCAGGCTAATGTTGACATGTGCACATGTGGTCAGTATCCACATACTGAGTAACACTTGCTGGCCCAGGAAAATCATAGTCAAGGAATCAGAAGGGACTATTGCATTAGGCAAGTTGATTTGAAGAGTCAGTAGTGTTCAGACTCTGAAGCGGAGGAGGAGCTTACAAATGACCAGTTCAAAGCTGTTAATAAAGATAAGCAGACGGAAATGCGAAGGGCCTTGGGATTTATTGCTTAAATTCATTTTATTAAGTAACAGTTTCCTAATCTGTATGATTCTAGTGGAATTTAGATTAACTCTACCTAATAATCCTCTGAAAAAATCGACTATTTAGTTGATGAACCAGCAAGGAGTACCAAAAATTTTGTGACTTGCAAGGAACATATTGAGTAATCTTTTGAGTTTTTAGATATTAATATAAATGTAACACAGCTAGAGTCTGTCTTAAAGTTCAAAATGGTAGGGGGGTGGAGCAATAGTATAGTGGGTAGGGTGTTTTTCTTGCATGAGGCTGACGCGGGTTCGATTGAGC